TCAAAAATAAAGATATTAAGAATTATGTCACCATCAGATTGGGGACAACCAATTCATCAACCAAAATCTTTTTCAAGACAATTTCAGCCTCAAACCTTTACCTATTATGATTACATTACTGCCTGGACCCATATTCTTTACTTACAACCAAAAACCCATTCCTGGTTTATTTGGTTTCGAAGAGGAATTTCTTTAAAATTTCCAAAAATGGTTTTTGCAATGGTTCTATTACTGGGGACCAATAAGAGAATTATTTCGTAATGAAGTATCAGAAAATTATGACTATTTCAAAGAAAAGACCTCATTCTTGCCAAACTTCAAGCTCATATCATTTGTAGCCTCTCAAAATATTACTTGGATAGTGTAGTAACCCAATTTCGTCCGGGAAATGTCAATTTTGTTTACAAAAATAGAAAAAAAGGTATGTACAAAAAAAGAATAAAAAAGACAAAAATATAGAAGGAAAAATATAACACCTCAATTTTCATACTTTTTGTGGAGGGTAATTTAGTAATTTTCATATGATTTTAATAGCCCAGAACGGGCCGTTCCCAAACTGGAATGGGCCGTTTCAACTTTCAAAAAATACCTATAATTTCTAGCCCAGAACGAGCCGTTCCAAATTGGAACGGGGCGTTTCAACCTTGAAAAAAGACATAAAATTTCTAGCCCGGAACGGGCTGTTCCAAAACTGGAACGGGCTTTTCCAACCTTCCAAAAAGACCTATAATTTTTAGCCTAGAACGGGCCGTTCCCAAACTAAAACGGGCCGTTCCAACCTTCAAAAAAGAACTATAATTTTTAGCCTAGAACGGCTGTTTCCAAACTACCAAAATACCTTAAAATTCTAGTCCAGAACGGGCCGTTCCCAAACTAGAACGGGCCGTTCTGGAAATGGCCGTTGTGAGTAAAATTGCAACCCCGAAACGGGCCGTTCCAGATTCAGAACGGGCCGTTCCGGTCCCTCCTGAAAGTCTATAAATAGCGGCCCTTGCCCTTCCCAAAGGGCACCCACACACACACATCTCCACCTTGGACCAGAGGGAGCTCAGAAGGAGAAACCAACAAGTTATCACTTCTTGAGTGAAGAATAGTGAGTATATCGAACTCACTTTCTTTTTATTTATTTATTTTTATTATATTTTTTTATTAGTAATATATGTTATTTTAAAAATTTAATTTATCATCTTAAAGTCTTATTTAAATTCAAAATGTGATTAAATATCAAAATATAGTGTTACAATATTCAATATAAATATTTAAAATTATTGTATTAAAAATTTTATTTGGAGGAATAGTTAATTAAATGTGACATCTTTTTAACCTTTGAATTTAAAGTACAAGTTGTGACAGCTTATCTTTAAATTTTTTCTCCAAAAACAAAAATGTCCAATCAATAAATTTTTTAACATCATAACATCTCTAGTAATAATTATAATTAAAATTTTATTGAATTGACTTTGGTGTACACCTTAGTCAATTTTATATTTTTAGGGTGAATGAGCTGAGACAGTTCAAGAATCCTATATTTAACAAAAATAAAATTTAATTAAAAAATATCAACACACAAATATTTTCTATCAAAGAACTA